TACGAGATCTCATATTCAACTTCAATGAGTTAGAGATGAATCGTTTGAAACAATTATTCACATCAACCGCTTATATGAGAGATCCAGTCGTGAAGATAACATCCAAAGTCGACACATATACCGATGTCTACAAAGTGTTTCAAATGCGATCGGACACTAAATCTCGAAGAGTTATACAAATGTGTAAAACTATGGCTCAATTCAAAGAGTTGTGTGAAGACGACAAAATCATTTTACTGAAGGCCTCGTGTCCTGAGATTATTTGCTTGATTTCTGTGACCACCTTTGACTTCGAGAGCGAGTTCTGGACGGTTGCCACTGTATGTCATGTTTTCAATTGAATATGTTTTAAATGGTAATTATAAACAGGACTCCGAGAATGGCGTTATGTTACCATTAAATGTATTAAAGTGGGGGAAATGGAACTTCTATGACATACTCAAGCAGTTTATGATTACAATTAAAGGGGAATACGATTCCGATATGAATCTCATTGATTTGGTATTTAAAGTTAAAGTTAACAATGAAATGTTTGTTTCATTAAACTACACTTTATATGCATAGTTAATGGCAATCATACTTTTTAACCCCAATCGTCCCAATTTAAAGCACAAAGAGATTGTAAAGTGAGTTGTAGTCTACAACTTGTAGATTATTTTATTTCTTAATTATTTATTAAATTTAATGTTTATATTTCCATATTTATGTTTTAATATTAGACTCCAACAGAAGACTTACATGTATTTACTTCAACGCTATTTAGAGATTAAACACAACTCTAAGAGTGAATCCGAGACCCGATTCTTGCGATTAATGAATTGTTTAAATGAGTTGTATTTAACGACCCATAATATGATGAGCAATGTATTTGCAAGCAAAGCTAACAATCCAGAATCCCTTTTCACTGAAATAGTTACTGACTAGTTATAATTAAATAAAATAGTTGTGCCCATAACATACCAATTATTCACCGTGATAATTTTTATAAACAGTTTGAGTATATAAAATATATAATTTCTTGATATTACAATAATTCACCAAGAATATAATTCGCACTAAAATTATTGTATTCATATAATATGTATTACTGTGCAAATTACACTAAATCTTATGAATATAATAATTATTTAATTTATAACTTTTATATTGTTTTTATTACAATTCAATCAGCACTAATTAAGATATATTCTTAAGAATCGTTATTTTAAAAAATGAACTTGACATTGTTTAACATTTCATAATTTATTAGACTCTAACATGAGATTTACATGTATTCACTTCAACGTTATTTAGATTGAACACAACCCTAAAAATGAATCCGAGAACCGATTCATAAGATTAATGAATTGTGTGAATTGTATAGTGATGTTCATGTATATAAACAATCTTTCTTAATAAATTTCCTAATTTCCAACAACAAATATTTAAGGAGCTTATGTTTTCGTAATTTTTCCTTAACTATGAAATATAAAAAGTTAATTATTAGCAAAGAATTATAAAATACATGAATGTCAAATAAGTCTTAACGTTAGATCTTTTCTTTGACGTATGTTATACTAATTTACTATTATAATTAGTTGATTATTGTATTTTACATCTAGCATTTCAACATGTTTACATCTAGATTCTAGATAACTAGTGTATAATTATCTTTGATAATCTCAAAAGATATAATAGATAAATACTTTTTACGGTAATTTAGTCTGAGTAGGATTGGTATTAATAGATATAAAATATAATGTCTATATAATACACGTATCTGAACAATGAGCAATTTATTTATTAATGAACTAAATTACAAAATTATCCATTAGTATTATCTTGAAGGCAATCAAGTTTTAAACCGCTAACTTAGCATTACCATTGCATTTGTATACTTTGTTAACTGATTGACAATTATCTATTCATTAAACACACCTATGTCACATTTTCTAACATTTGATTAACTACTGTTTACTGCGGTATACAAGATTTAAATTATTTTGTAAAAAGGTTTTTCAAAATTATAAAAACTAATGTGCTATTATAACATTAATATAACTTTATAATATTTAACGCAGTGATATTTTATAGCAAATAAATCAATAATTTATAAGGTATACTTGAATTATATAATAAGTTTAATTTTGCACTGTAATTGCACTCAAATTGGTTGTCGTGGTGATCAAGGATATTATCAAACTAATATTGATAAAATTGGGAAATTGTTTATACTTCAGAAACATAATTGTTACAATGTATATTTATATAATCTATTTTTGATATATTTATATTTTGTTTGTTAATTTGATTTTATATTATTGCTAATCATCATATCGTTAATATAACATCAAACATTTAAATGTAATTAGCATTGATACAAATGCCGAAAAAAGTTGTCCAGTGTTTGATATGCCGGGTTTGCGGTGATAAGGCTATCGGTGAGTATATTGTCAAAATTAACTGTAATAAATAATTTAAACAAATTCAATTTTAAATGTTTATAATATATATTAAATTCATGCTAGCTTATAATTTTGGGGTTCAATCGTGCGAGTCGTGTAAAGCCTTTTTTAGGAGAAATGCGTTCAGAGATAATGTAAATATACTTTTTTTAAATTTTATATTAGACTTTATAATGTACAGTATAATATACATTGTATAATTGTAGATTGAATGTATATTATAACACTTTTGAGATTCATTGATAAAATTCAAATTGTAATTATGACCAGGCATTTGTGTGTAATTTTGGTGGCAAATGTGAAATCAATGCCTTAAAGCGAAAATTTTGTCGTAAATGTCGATTAACGAAGTGTTTTGCCGTCGGAATGAATAAAGTATTATTTAACTTTTAATAAGTTAATTAAAACTTACGATTAGTATTTCATATTGTAATATAAATATAATGATTATTAAAGGCTTATATCTTTTCTGATGAGCAAAAACGCAAACGAAAGGCTATTGTCGAAGAAAATCGGTCTAAAACTAAAGTCAATATTAAGTTGAATGCCATTCACTCGTCCAACACATCATCGCAAACACAATCGGATTCAGATATAAATGATATTTCAATGAATGAAAGTAATTATGTGGACAACGATTCTGCAGATAATTTACAAAATAGGCTGAAATTTAATGAAATAGAGAAACGGTTTGATGAGGAGATGCCCGTCGTTTCAATGATCAATGAAATCAATTCATACGACAAGTGTTTGAATGATATAGAAATGAATCGTTTGGCAGAACTGCTGAATGCGACCCAAAAGATCAGGGATCCGGTCAGCAAAATAACATGTCTGGCCACTAAACATCCAGAGGTGCGACACACTATGGCAGTGAAATGGGAACAGTTCCCATTTCACTGCCATAGTGTGTCGCACCTCTGGATGTTTAGTGGCCAGACATGTTATTTTGCTGACCGGATCCCTGATCTTTTGGGTCGCATTCAGCAGTTCTGCCAAACGATTCATTTCTATTTCATTCAAACACTTGTCGTATGAATTGATTTCATTGATCATTGAAACGAGGGGCATCTCCTCATCAAACCATTTCTCTATTTCATTCAATTTCAGCCTATTTTGTAAATTATCTGCAGAATCGTTGTCCACATAATTACTTCCATTCATTGAAATATCATTTATATCTGAATCCGATTGTGTTTGCGATGATGTGTCGGACGAGTGAATGGCATTCAACTCATTATTGACTTTAGTTTTGGACCGATTTTCTTCGACAATAGCCTTTCGTTTGCGTTTTTGTTCATCAGAAAAGATATAAGCCTTTAATGATAATTATATTTATATTACAATATGAAATACTAATCGTAAGTTTCAATTAACTTATTAAAAGATAAATAATACTTTATTCATTCCGACGGCAAAACACTTCGTTAACCGACATTTACGACAAAATTTTCGCTTTAAGGCATCGATTTCACAATTGCCACCAAAATGACACACAAATGATGCCTAGTCATAATTACAATTTAAATTTAATTTAATCAATGAATCTCAAAAGTGCTATAATATACATTCAATCTACAATTATACAATTATACAATGTATATTATACTGTAAATTATCAAGAATAATATAAAATTTAAAAAAGTATATTTACATGATCTCTGAACGCATTTCTCCTAAAAAAGGCTTTACACGACTCACACGATTGAACCCCAAAATTATAAGCTAGCATGAATTTAATATATATTATAAACAATTTAAATTGAATTTGTTTAAATTATTTATTAAGTTAATTTTGACAATATACTCACCGATAGCCTTATCACCGCAAACCCGGCATATCAAACACTGGACAACTTTTTTCGGCATTTGTATCAATGCTAATTGGATTTAAATGTTTGATGTTATATTATGATGATTAGCAATGATATCAAATCAAATTAACAAACAAAATATAAATATATCAAAAACAGATTATATAAATATACATTGTAACAATTATGTTTCTGAAGTATAAACAATTTCCCAATTTTATCAATACTAGTTTGATAATATCCTTGATCACCACGACAACCAATTTGAGTGCAATTACAGTGCAAAATTAAACTTATTATATAATTCAGATATACCTTATGAATTATTGATTTATTTGCTATAAAATATCACTGCGTTACATATTATAAAGTTATATTAATGTTATAATAGCACATTAGTTTTTATAATTTTGAAAAAACTTTTTACAAAATAATTTAAATCTTGTATACCGTAGTAAACAGTAGTTAATCAAATGTTAGAAAATGTGACATAGGTGTGTTTTATGAATAGATAATTGTCAATCAGTTAACAAAGTATACAAATGCAATGGTAATGCTAAGTTAGCGGTTTTAAAACTTGATTGCCTTCAAGATAATACTAATGGATAATTTTGTAATTTAGTTCATTAATAAATAAATTGCTCATTGTTCAGATACGTGTATTATATAGACATTATATTTTATATCTATTAATAC